CTCAATAAAAAATACATTATCTCAAAGCAAGGAGTTAACCATCATAAAAATGAAAACTCATTATGATGACTACCTGAAATATGCACAACATTCCTAAAGACTAAGACATCATCCTAAAGGATAAATATTATAAAGGAGTCTATGTTGTTGTTCAGTCACCCAGTCGTGTCCAAGTCTTTGCGACCCCATGGACTGCAGCGCACCAGGCCTCTCTGTCCAACCCCCATCTCCCAGTTTGCCCAAGTTTATGTCCAATGAATCATCAGTAATGCCATCCAGCCAACTCATCCTCTGACTCCCTCTTCTCCTTCTGCCCTCAGAATATTGTATACAGTTTGTTAATTCATTACATCAAACAGAAAACTTGCCAGTTTCAGGTGGATACTTATGTTCCAGCTGTTATATTTTCTTACTCAAATTCTGAAAAATAAAAACATATGCACTGTGGGAATTCCCTGATGGTCCAGTGGTTAGGACTCCAGGCTTTCACTGCCAAGGGCCCAGGTTTGATCCCTGGTCATCAGGGAACTAATATTCCACAAGCCTCTTGGCCAAAATAAATAATAAAAACCATCCGCATTGGAATGTAAGCTCCATGAGGACAGGGATTTGTGTTTGATTCACAGCTGAAACCTCAGCACCTAGAATAGTGCCTGATGCACTAAAGAAACTAAAATACCTCAAATACATGTCCAATCCAAGTCTATGCATTCTAGTAAAATTCTGGCCTTTCAGAAAATACAAATGAAATACTTCTTAACCTGAAAAACCAATCACTCTAACATTTGTAATTCTTTGTCCTGAAGTATTTAAAACTATTTACCTATTTCTCATTCATATTTACTGTTTGTAATTTAAAAGTATTTTATTCTAACATTTTTCTACCCCATACTAGAAACCTGTTTTAAAATAAATCAGCACCTCTTACAGAGAGACCAAAAGGCCTTTTAAAGTGGGCTATTATGACACATTAAAATATAATTCAAAACAGAAAATTAGCTTTTCTGTTCTTTAGTTTGCCAACAAAGGTCCATATAGTCTAAGCTATGGTCTTTTCAAGTAGTCATGTACAGATGTGAGAGGTGGACCATAAAGAAGGCTGAACACCAGAGAATCGATGCTTTCAAATTGTGGTGCTGGAGAAGATTCTAGAGAGTCCCTTGGACGGGAAGGAGATCAAACTAGTCAATCCTAAGGCAAATCAACCCTGAGTACTCAATGGAAGGACTGATGCTTAAGCTCAAATACTTTGGCCACCTGATGCAAACAACTGACTCATTAGAAGAGACCCTGATGCTGTGAAAGACTGAAGGCAAAAGGAGAAGAGGGCGGCAGAGGATGAAATGGTTGGATGGCACCACTGATAGAACAGACACGAACTTGGGCAAACTCCGGGAGATGGTGAGAGACAGGGAGGCCTGGTGTGGTGCAGTCCATGGGGTCACAAAGAGTCAGACACAACTTAGCAACTGAACAACAACATCATGATGCATTAAAATACAATTCAAGATGGAAAATGAGCATATGGAAAGATCCTAAGCATCATATGTCATTAGGGAATTGCAAATTACATCAACAAGATACCACTACATACCTTCTAGAATGGTGCAACTCTAGAACACTGACAACACCACATGCTGATGATGATGTAGAGCAAGAGAACCTTTCATTCATTCCTGGGGGAACTGCAAATGGTACAGCCACTTTGCAAGAGAGTTTGACAGTTTCTTACAAAACTAACATTCCTACCATATGAGCCAACAATCATGCTCGCTGGTATTTACCCTAAGGGGTTGAAAACTTAGGTGCACACAGATGCTTATAGCAACTTTATAACTGCCAAAGCTTGAAAGTAACCAAGATGTCCTCCAGTATGTGAATGGATAAACTGTGGTACATCCAGACAACAGAATATTATTCAACACAAATAAGAAATGAGCCAACAAGCTATGAAAAGACACAGGAATATTAAATGCATATTACGAAATGAAACAAGCCAATCTGAAAAGATTACATACTGTGTGATTCGAACTACATGACATTCTGAAAAAAGGCAAAACAATGGAGACCGTAAAAAGATCAGTAGTTGCCATGGCTTGGATGTAATAGCAAGGGATGAATAGGGCACAAGGGACTTTTAGGGCAGTGAAGCTACTCGGTGTGATACTACTCACGCTACTCAGTATGATACTACAATGGTGGATACATGTCATTACACATCTGTCCAAAACCAAAGAATGTACATCACCAAGAATGAAACATAATGTAAACTACGGACTTTGGGTGATCATGATATGCCAATGCAGGTTCAGCAATTATAAAAAATGTATCACTCTGGTGAGGGTATTGATAATGGGGGGGCTGGGTATGTGCGGAGCCAAAGTGTATATGGGAATTCTGTGTACCTTAATCTCAATTTTGCTGTGAACCTAAAACTGTTCTGAAAAGATAAAGTCTGTTAAAATATATATATATATACACACACACATATTTCAACTGAAAAAAAAATCCCTAAGATAACTCACTTACATAACAAAGTAACAGGTGTAGTGATTTATTTTTATTCCAAGGAGGAGACAAAATAAGATATTTTTATAGAACATGTACTTCAGGTAAGATTTTCAATCTTCCTGGAACATTATGGTAATCTTAGTTGTATGCCTAGTAAGAAGAAAAAAAATCCGTTACCATAGAAACTACCAGGGCTAGTTAGTGCCTCCACAAATGGGGCAGTTATACCTGTTGGACCACTTAATTAAACTTACAAGTTCCTGTTTAACAGGGAAAGGCTAAAAACATCTACATCTGTTTTAAAGACTGATACACTTATGGGGTAATGAAAGTCAAGATAAATTGAGTGCTCATGCACGTACACACACCCAGACACACCACACTACACACAACCAACGTGGTTAGTACAAATTAGATGGCTGCGGGCTTTGTTTGAATCCCTTTCGATTACATTACTCTGTCCAGGATGCCTTCGATGTTCATTGTCACCTGTACAAAGATTGCTCGATTACTGCACTGTGTCAGGTTGGACTTCCCGGGTGGCTCAGTGGTAAAGAACCTGCCTGCCAATACAGGAGACACTGGAGACAGAAAGAGCCTGGTGGGCTACAGTCCATGGGGTCACAGAGAGTCAGACACGACTGACACACAGGTGAATGGGGAAGGAAGTCTTTTGTTATGCTGGGCTGCATAAGGGAGCTCTAAAGCTCAAAGAGATTTATTACAAGCAATATTCTAGGGATGTCCCCTCTTGCCAGCATCTTTTGCAAGAAGGTTTCAACTAGACATCAAAAATACAATCTCATTCATACAAAGGCACTGTGCCTTGAGTTCTTTTTAAATCTCAAACACCCTGGGTTCTAACACCAGGAAAGGCCCCTCCCCAACTCCTTAGAAGTCAATCAACATAATTCAGATTTAATATGCCTACCATCTCTTATCACACTCCATGCATTACTGACAACGAAATAAGCCTTTTAACAGATGCCCACTTACTTAACAGATGTCACTTACTTGCTGTGTGGCCTGTCACTTATTCCTCTTTCAGTTGAGAAGTAGCAACAGCATTTAATAAATTATGCTTGGGAGTATTCTGAGGGCCTCATGTAATAGCCATGGTTCATGTTTTAAAATATTGATTTTCCTCTACCTGGTCAAGTTCAACTGCTCAAGAGCAGAAGCCAAACTGTCTCCAAAGCAAAGACTTCTTAAGAGACAAACAGCCATGTTAAGGTCTGTGGATACTAATTACATTTTCAGAAATCTTGAATTCTGAAAAGTGAGAGATTACAGAGTGGCTAAAATTATGCTCAAACAGACAGACATACGCATGCTCCAGCAGTATAAAATGCAGTCTTAAATGATTTTTTTTTAAATCTACAATGATACTGCAAGTGAACCATAAAACCCTCAGTACTCCTTTTGAACTGGATTTTAAAATATCACTCCTCACTCTAAATATACAATTGATGTTAACTTTCAAACTGCCTCCAGCTTTTTTTTTCTTTTTATTTTTTATTGAAGGATAATGGCTTTACAGAATTTTGTTGTTTTCTGTCAAACCTGACTCCAGCTTTTAAGGAAAACTTCATTTCAGACTTGGGGCCTGATATTAAGAATCTTATCACAACGAAGTGCTAGTAACAGCAGAACACAGACAAAGATGCTTATCGCTCCAGGAAAGCACAAAAGGAAAACTGCATCTACTGTGCATCATCCCCCTCCTCCTTTTCCAGGTATGGAGCAGCCAAAAGGAGGCAGCTATGACACACGTTACTTGGTAATTCTATTTCAAGTCCAAATAATGGTAAGATGGGAAACTACAACTGTCCCTCACCGTGAATGTCTGGGAACCACGTCTAGTCCTAAATAGGAAGCTTAGCTCTGCCTTGACAGATGTCCTCTTGCAGCCCTGTGTCCCGGTTCTGCAATTTGTCATTAAGCTGTTCAGTTTAACACTAATATGCAGAAATACGTCAGTACGCGAATGTACAGTAAATTCGTGTATATTACGAGTAGTATATAAAGCGGACAACATTCAGTCGTGGGCCGCCGGCCACACACACACACCCTTCAAGTTCAAATCCTGCAAGGCACCCAAGCGCCCACTCGCCCAGGAGAGGGAAGGGCAGGAGCGGCAAGCAGAGGTTACTCCAGACACCAGCCAGAACAAACACTAGTTACCGAACAAGGCAAACTTTGGGTCTGGGAGGCTGCAGAGACCCCAGAAACGGCCGAGGAGAGGAGGGAGTGTCCGTCTGTCTCAGCGGAGGAAGATGGGGGCGCACCCAGCACCGCTGAGCTGTGGAGGAGGCTGGTGTCCCCTGGGGAACAAGGGCGTCGCCGCCATTCTAGGCTGCGAAGCCACTCTCCGAGACCTGGCCGAGGCCTCCGGGTGCCTGTCGGCGGCCCTGTCGCCCCACCCCGCCCCCTAGTCCCTGCAGAAATGGTCCCCAAAGACTCACAAGGGCAGGGGTGCGGGGACCTACCTGGTGCAGCGTCTCGGCGGGCAGCTGCGACGCCCGGAACAGGTCGGCGACCGGGCCAGCGGCTGCGTCCGCCGCACGGCACATGGAGACAGGCGCGGCACGAACCAATCGCAGCCTAGGATCGCACCATGGCCCCGCCCCCGCCCCGCCCTGCCCCACCGCGCTGGGCCAGGTAACTAAACTCGGCGCGCAGCCTGCTAGGCGAATGGTCACCTGCTCCGCCCGCGCTGCAGAATCCAAAGAATCCACAGTCACTCCGCTTCCACTCTGCGCGAGAGAGGCATCTTTGGTTCTTCTCCCTACCTGGGAAGGGAAACATCTAGACCCACATGGAGAATGGCGCTTTTCAGGGGGTGGGAAAGGCTGTGGTGATTTCTCCCTAGGACGCTGGAGCAAGTGTACTGCCCACGTCACGCTGTGCCCTTCCCAGAAATGGACTAGGCACGGGATATGGACGAGGCATGGGTAATTAGGTTTCGCTTGTTCCATGACAGTCCTGAAAAGCTGGAGGGCAGAGATCTCCATAGGAACAGGGTCCCAGTGACTCCTGTAATGTTCAAGGTGTTGTTCAAGGTGGCGACAGGGTTAAGCCACTTTCTCAGGCAAGGCTCAAACCTGGAGTTGAGCCTTAAAAAGGAATAAAATCGGTTAGTGTTAAATGCTAGAGTAATAGGAGTGAAAAGGGCCCTGGGAAGATTTTGCACATGTATATGCATTAAGCCTGGAGAAGGCAATGGCAACCCAATCCAGTACTCTTACCTGGAAAATCCCATGGACGGAGGAGCCTGGTAGGCTGCAGTCCATGGGGTCGCGAAGAGTTGAACAGGACTGGGCGACTTCACTTTCACTTTTCATTTTCATGCGTTGGAGAAGGAAATGGCAACCCACTCCAGTATTCTTGCCTGGAAAATCCCAGGGACAGCGGAGCCTGGTGGGCTGCCGTCTGTGGGGTCACACAGAGTCAGACACGACTGAAGCGACTTAGCATACATTAAGCCTGGCTGGGAAACACTAACCCAAGGGAAAAAAATCAGTCCATGGTTTACAGATACACCTTCCACCCCAAACAGTGCTTAAAAAAAAAAATATTAAAAACAAAACGGGGACTTCCCTGGTGGTCCAGTGGTTAAGTTTCCAAGCTCCCAATGCAGTGAATGAAGGGCCTGGGTTCCATCCCTGGTCTGGAAACTGGATCTTACATGCCACAACTAAGACCCAGCATAGCCACATTAAAAAAAAAAAAAAAAAACTCGGAATAGCACTCATAGCCACATTAAAAAAAAAAAAAAAAAAAACTCGGAATAGCACTAATGATAACAAATATACTTTGGTATTTTGTTCAACTAAAATAAAGACCAAGCACAGGAAGAGAAGAAAAGAAAAAAAACATAAAATCAGGGGAAAGGGGAAAGATGAAAAGAGAACCATAAGAAGAAAAAAAATTATGTTAATTCATAAATGGTGCCCAGAGTAACATTTCCTTTTTGGAATCTCAAGAAATGAAATAGAAAATGAGGATCCCCAAAATTACTCAGATTACCTTATACCATCTTTTGCTTCAGACTTGCCAGAAGTGAGTTAAGACAGAGGTAAGTTTGGAGAAAAGAGTACCAAAAGGATAGGTAAGTTAGGAGCAACAAAGACTGACTGACTTCGGGAATTTCCACTTCAAAAATCTCACCACCACTGTATTTTCCACAACTGTAAAACCTTCTCAAGAAAACTGGAAGCCAAGAGATCATGTTTACTCTTTTCCCATTTTTCCCTTTATAGACAGGCTTCCCTGAGAATGGCCCATCATTCTAACAAAGGTGAGAAAGGGACGTATTCTCCATGATAAACATCAAACGCCACTTTTCCCTGTGACTCCTGCAGAAAGAAATGTGAGATATAATAATCCCTAACATTAATATACTTCAAGCTACATTATCTATTTAAGCCTGCAGTACCTCTCTGAGGTAGACTGTTTTCCCATTTTCATCCCCATTTTGCAGATGAGAAAATGGATGCAGAGGTGGCATGATTTGCCCAACTGAATACTAGATTCCCAGCTGATCTTTGTTACTCAACTCAGTTTAATAAATTTGAAAGATATTTATTAAGCACTGCTATGGTTTTTCCAGTAGTCATGTATGGATGTGAGATTTGGACCATTAAGAAAGCTTAGCGTGGAAGATGCTTTTGAATTGTGGTGTTGGAGAAGACTCTTGAGAGTCCCTTGGACTGCAAGGAGATCAAACCAGTAAATCCTAAAGGAAATCAGTTCTGAATATTCATTGGAAGGCTCAATGCTGAAGCTGAAACTCCAAAACTGTGGCCACCTGATGCAAAAAAACTGACTCACTGGAAAAGACCCTGATGCTGGGAAAGATTGAAGGCAGGAGGAGAAGGGGACACCAGAGGATGAGATGGTTGGATGGCATCACCAACTCGATGGACATGAGTTTGAGCGAGCTCCCGGAGATGGTGAAGGACAGGGGAGCCTGGCGGGCTGCAGTCCATAGGGTCACAAAGAGTTGGACACCACTGAGCGATTGAACTAACTATTAAGCACTGCAGAGATGGGGAGGAGATTTCATATCTGTGCCTATCTATCAATCAACACTTATGGGTAGAATAAGAAGTATTGACTGTGTTCCTACTGGAATACTTTGAGAGATTCAAAAAAGATATACAAGACCTGTTGCTTTCAAGGAGTCTGCCGCCACACTGAAAAAGATAAAACTAACACAACAAATAAAAACAAATAATAAAAGACAATATATAATTAAGTTCTAAACTCTGTTTATTTCAGTTCAGTTGCTCAGTCGTGTCCAACTCTGCGACCCCATGGACTGCAGCACGCCAGGCTTGCCTGTCCATCATCAACTCCATGTCGTCCCCTTCTCCTCCAGCCTCCAATCTTTCCCAGCATCAGGGCCTTTTCCAGTGAGTCAGTCTTCACATCAAGTGGCCAAAGTATTGGAGTTTCAGCTTCAGCATCAGTCCTTCCAATGAATATTCAAGACTGATTTCCTTTAGGATGGACTGGTTGGATCTCCTTGCTGTCCAAGGGACTCTCAAGAGTCTTCTCCAACCCCACAGTTCAAAAGCATCAATTCTTCAGTGCTCAGCTTTCTTGAGAGTCCAACTCTCACATCCATACATGACTACTGGAAAAACCATAGCCTTGACTAGATGGACCTTTGTTGGCAAAGTAATGTCTCTGCTTTTTAATATGCTGTCTAGGTTGGTCATAACTTT